TACAAAGTCGCCAGTTCTCATCTTCCAGCTCCCCAGATACTCCGCGTACTAAAGTTGTACTACAAAGTCGCCAGTTCTCAGCTTCCCGCTCCACAGATTGCTTCGCGTACTAAAGTTGTACTACAGTTCTCAGCTTCCAGCTCCACAGATTGCTCCGCGTACTAAAGTTGTCTACAAAGTCGCCATTTCTCATCTTCCAGCTCCACGGCTTGCTCCGCGTACTAGAGTTGTACTACAAAGTCGCCAGTTCTCAGCTTCCAGCTCCAGATACTCCGCGTACCAAAGATGCACTACAAAGTCGCCAGTTCTCAGCTTCCAGCTCCACAGATTGCTTCGCGTACTAAAGTTGCACTACAAAGTCTCCAGTTCTCATCTTCCACTCCGCAGATACTCCGCGTACTAAAGTTGTACTACAAAGTCGCCAGTTCTCAGCTTCCAGCTCCACGGCTTGCTCCGCGTACTAGAGTTGTACCACAAAGTCGCCAGTTCTCAGCTTCCAGCTCCACAGATACTCCGCGTACTAAAGTTGCACTACAAAGTCGCCAGTTCTCAGCTTCCAGCTCCACAGATTGCTCCGCGTACTAAAGTTGTACTACAAAGTCGCCAGTTCTCATCTTCCAGCTCCACAGATTGCTTCGCGTACTAGAGTTGCACTACAAAGTCGCCAGTTCTCAGCTTCCAGCTCCACAGATGCTGTGCCTGCCACGAAATCTGCACATGGAGGTTCACAAAGTGCTGCGCCTGCCACGAAATCTGCACATGGAGGTTCACAAAGCGCTGTGCCTGGCACGAAATCTGCACATGGAGGTTCACAAAGCGCTGCGCCTGCCACAAAATCTGCACATGGAGGCTCACAAAGCGCTGCGCCTGCCACGAAATCTGCACATGGAGGTGCACAAAGCGCTGCGCCTGCCACGAAATCTGCACCTCGAGGTCCACACAGCGCTGTGCCTGCCACGAAATCTGCACCTCGAGGTTCACACAGCGCTGTGCCTGCCACGAAATCTGCACCTCCAGCTTCACAAAGCGCTGTGCCTGCTACGAAATCTGCACATGGAGGTTGACAAAGTAATGCGCCTGCCACGAAATCTGCACATGGCGGTTCACAAAGTGCTGCGCCTGCCGCGAACTCTGCACATGGAGGTTCACAAAGTGCTGCGCCTGCCACGAATTCTGCACATGGAGGTTCACAAAGTGCTGCGCCTGCCACGTAATCTGCACATGGAGGTTCACAAAGTGCTGTGCCTGCCACGACATCTGCGCGTCAAGAAACAAGTGAAAACTCTAATCACAATGGAGGGACGATTGCGAGAATGATCTGATGATGATCCGAGCATGACCCGAGACTGTCTCGCAACCGTCGTTCCGCGGAGCTTCCCCGTCAAGGTTCGGAGAAGCATGGAGGTTCACAAAGCGCTGCGCCTGCCACGAAATCTGCACATGGCGGTTCACAAAGCGCTGTGCCTGCCACGTAATCTGCGCATGGAGGTTCACAAAGTGCTGCGCCTGCCACGACATCTGCGCGTCAAGACACTCCGACCATGATCCGAGCATGACCCGAGACCGTCTCGCAACCGTCGTTCCGCGGAGCTTCCCCGTCAAGGTTCGGAGAAGCATGCAGGTTCACAAAGCGCTGTGCCTGCCACGAAATCTGCACATGGAGGTTCACAAAGTCACGCGCCTGCCACGAAATCTGCATATGGCGGTTCACAAAGTGCTGCGCCTGCCATGAACTCTGCACATGGAGGTTCACAAAGTGCTGTGCCTGCCACGACATCTGCACGTCAAGAAACAAGTGAAAACTCTAATCACAATGGAGGGACGATTCCGAGAATGATCCGACCATGATCCGAGCATGACCCGAGACCGTCTCGCAACCGTCGTTTCGCGGAGCTTTCCCGTCGAGGTTCGGAGAAGCATGGAGGTTCACAAAGTGCTGTGCCTGCCAGGAAATCTGCACATGGAGGTTCACAAAGTGCTGTGCCTGCCACGAAATCTGCACATGGAGGTTCACTGCCACGAACTCTGCACATGGAGGTTCACAAAGTGCTGTGCCTGCCACGAAATCTGCACATGGAGGTTCACAAAGTGCTGTGCCGGCCACGAACTCTGCACATGGAGGTTCACAAAGTGCTGTGCCAGTGGTGTACGATGAGTGGTGTATGATGAGTGGTGTATGATGAGTGGTGCATGATGAGTGGTGTATGATGAGTGGTGTATGATGAGTGGTGTATGAT